AATCAGTTTTGGAAAGGACACAACTGGTTTAAATGTATGGTTGGGTGTGTTTATGATAATTCAATTATATGAACGTAAACATAAAACAGTAGGAAACAATTCGGATTATAGATCTGGACTTACCATCACTTAGCACAACCTCAGCCTGGCTGGGAATGGGCGCCTGCTGTGTTTGAATCTGTATGACTTGGTGCTCTAAAAATAAATGATAATAAGTAAAATAAACTTTGGCTATTATTGAAATTTCTCTTGCTTACCCGTTTCTGGTTCGCTCTGTGCGTGTTTTGCATGTGCGTGTGCACCCGCTGCTTGCATCGAGTTGAGTGCCTCTGATTCCGAAAAGTCTGTATCGGTGTCTGCAGATTATAAAATAAATAAATATTTTATTAATATTATTTCTGTAGGTAATGGTAAGTTCTTGCCGCCTGCTGCTATAATGTAGTCTGGCACTGTTAGGCTAACAGATTTACAAAACAGCATACAGCGCACTGTTAAATGACTGCATATCCTGTTAAGTTAACAGAACAGTTTGCATGAGCAAGTGTAATTCTGTTAAATTAACAGGCCACTTTGCAGTAACATGTGCATGTAGGCACTGTTAAATTAACAGCAAGTTCTGCCCTATAAATCTCTCACTCTCTTCATACTTACATTCCCCATGAATGCTCTTCTTTTTACGTTCAACGGTGCGTTTGTATTCGTTGAGCTCATCGTCTGTTACATTATCGAAGGGGTTCTTGGCATAGGGCGCCTTATAGACTGTCGCATTATGTTGGAATCCTCGCTGTATGATGCCCTTGGAGGCGGCACCCATCAGTACAACATGATCACCAGTTTGCGAGACGGTTGCATCTTTGATGCGATTCGCCTCATCCCAGGTAACGCCCTCCAATATGTGCGACTGTGGGCCGGCAGAAATTTTGTCTGCGCGTCGATTGTCCTTAATCTGTTTTCAATTAAATTATATAGTAATGTATTAAATATGAAATTATTGCAATTACTGACTTGCTGTTGCACTCGCTTGAACTCCTTGGTTGTTGTTCCGGCTGGCACAAATTGCAATGGATCCTCGATGCGCACCGGCGTCGAGTGGGTGGGCGAACCTTCGGCTACCCACTATTATTTCAAGGGAGGGGGTTTTCGGTTTTTGTTTATTTTTTATAGGGGGGTCATTCAACGGAGTTAAGCAATTGAAAAAGAAAGAGAAAGAAATTTGTTTTAGAATTAAATTTCACTTTTTTTAAATAGAAAATTTTTTTAAGTTTGCTATTAAATATAGAAGTTAATAGTTCACATATTTCATATATATAATTATTTAATTTACAATACAATATGATATATGCCCCATCATAGATAATTGCACTCAAATGCAAGCAAATTGGTTAAACAGAGTTGAAACTCGTTTTGGAAATGCAAATTATAAATATTTAAATAAATGAAATACAAATACAAGCATAAATGATTTTGTGCCTTAAGAAATGTAAGTAAATTAAAAGAGGACAGTTGACAAATTAAAATTTCGAAAACATGCAAAGAAAAATATATATTCATGTTAACATAAACAAAACATAATGATTGAAAATGAGAGAAAATCATAAAACATGCAGAATCTGATGAATATTAGGAATAATTATTTGAATTTAGCGTTGCTTAAAAATTTACATATATATTAGTTAGCATTTAATTGTTGTTAACAAATGTCTTTCTCTTTCTTTGCATTATTTTCTTTTCTTTTTTCGTTTGTAATATAAGGCAAATCATAATAATTGGAATGTCCCTAAAGAGGCACAAAATCATCTATGCGATTTAGTTTTGTATTTCATATATTTATTTGATTAATGCACAATTACAATTTATAAAGCATTTCATATTAATATTGGTTTGATTTTTGTTTTTGCTGCATTTGGGTTACTAAATATCTATGCATCATAATTTGTTATCAATTTAAATAAACTTTGTCAATTTGTATCTCTTTCTGCTTATGAGCTACATATATATTTAGATAGACATAATTATGCGTGAATATTAATAAAAGCAAGTAGAAAAGTGGGAGTATAGAGAGGCTATAAATATTTTCTATGGATGGTTGGTTGTTTGGAATGTTCTTTTGTGTAGTTTTTCATTTTGGGATTATTTCATTAAAAATTTCCCTAGTTGTATTAGTTGTATTTGTGTGTTGCTAAAAAATTAGTTTATGAACTTTTTTTCAACTAATTTCCCTCGATTTCCTTGAGGTTAGAAACTTTTTGTGTTTGTTGTTGTGTCGTTTGCATATCTTCAAATGTTATGATCTCTACCTTTGTGATTTTCTTGGGATCTGGAGTGCCAGTCTCGAGTACCTCGACCTTCTGGTAAACGTTGGGCGAATTCAGCCAGCGGCTACGGTCGCCGCCCTTGCGCAGATCTCCCTTCTTCCAGATACTGTGTAAAATAAGGAGACATTTTAGGACATTTACCTTTAATTAAGTTAGCAAGTTTTTTCATACCCCTGTCGGAAGAGCTCCTCCTCCTCCAGCAGGTAGCCCAATGAAGACACAGCTGGTGGCAGTTCAACGTCGTTCTTCGGCTTTGGCGGATCTGATTTGATCAGTGGATGACGGTAGATATAGCCAGTGCGAAAACCAGCATTGTCCAGCATGCGCATAAGTGCTTCAAACTCGGCGCCACCCACACGCCACTTGGGTGGGCTGCCAATCTTGGGCGCGGCAGCCTCCTCTTTGCCGGCACCGGCAGCACCGTCCTCTTCAGTTGTGATGGCAGCAAATTTCTTCTCCAAGTCCTCTGGTGGACGGCGTGACTGATCATAGATCAACTTGCGCGATTCCTCAGGTATTAGCACAAGGTTGTCCAGGCCAGCCGGAAGCAGCTTTAGCTGCGTCTCGCACGCCTGCACAATGTGACAGGCGGCAAAGAAAGCCTCCTCAATGGTCTCGCCACAGCAGAGGGCGCCATGGTTGGTCAACAGCATGACCTTGGAGTTGGGCCCCAGACTGCGCACCAGGCGATCGCGCTCCTCCGCGTCAAGCAGACCGGTGTAGGCGTGTGTGCTAATCTCGCCCAACACGCAGGCATCCTTGGTGAGGGGCAACAGGCCCGTCTTTAGCGAAGAGATTGCCACAACGGGACTGCAGCCAATATAGATGGCGCAACGGATATCTGGACGCGCTGCATGCACCACCGAATGCAAGACAAAGTCTGTAATACAATCCACGTTTAGTTCAAATTCAATTGATCATCCTAACATTTCGTATTTTCACTTACGGCTCTTGTTCACGCCAAAATTGGTTGTGCCCTGCTCGACGATTTGGCCCTGCATATCGACTTTGTTGAGGGCCGAGGCAGTTATCTCATTGTACAACAGGCCATAGGGATTGACCAGGAAGTACTCCTGATCGACCTTTAGGCGTGCCGTAATCTGTGCACCCAGACCCTGGGTCCAGCCGTACAGATCCAGCAGCCGGAATGTGGCAGCTAGTTTGCATCTGAGTATCTTCTCACCCTTGGCATATCCCATCGACTCCACGCCACGTATATCATTGATGGGCACCATGCAGCTGCCGCTCTTGAAAACGTTGCTCACACGATTCACTGGCACTCCCACAATATCCGACAACTGCTGCAATATGCCACTGGCGCCGGCGCTGCCCTCACGTGCCGAGTCGACAATGCGTTCCAGTTCCTCGCGAAACAGTTTGGAGCCCATGATGGCCTCTACGCGTTTGCGTCGCTCCATCTCCCGCATGTCCTACAAATAGGAGAAATTGAATATTACATATATTATTTCATTTTTCTATTTGTACAATTAATTACCTGTTCAATATCCGCGGGACGCGCTTTACTGTTCTCGTCATCCTCGCCCGCGGTTGGATCTATGCCATTCTGTGGCGGTTGCTCAACCTCAGTCATGTTTCAGTTAATTTATTTAAATTTAGTTCAAATGCTAAAAACAAAAACACAAAAAATACACAACTTATTATTTTATATACTTAAGGTAATACAAATTAGTTTTTATATATCTCTAAATATTTTGCTTTCGACAGGCTCAGCTGAAAATTTTCAACTGACCTTAAAAAGTGCAGGCCGAAACTTTTGGTTTCCGCTATGAACAAAATAGGGTGGCAAAAGAGAGACACCGACAATGCGAGAGAAAGAGAGAGAGCGTGAAAGAGAGAGTGTAGCCAAGTAGCACTTGTGTCGTCGCCTGCATAAAACTGCAAGGCGAGGCGCAAATGAACCACCCAACAGCGTTTATTAAACCACCAAAAGCGCGACAGAGACAGTTTGATAGAGAGCGGAAGAGAGAAGAGAGTGAACGCGCGTTGACAGAGCAACTGAGCATTTTGTATGTATGTGTGTGTGTGCTCGTATGGATTTACACATGTCTGCGTGCAGTGCGAATGGCAAATGTATAAAAGCACTTGAACTAAAGTTCCGAGAGCGGCCGGCTAGCCTTTCCTTTCCTTTCCATTTCGCTTTCGCTTTTTTGGTATTTTTATATATATATAGAAATATACTGTTTATTTTACAACCCCAACAAAATTCTAATTTGGGATAAAAATAAATTTCGTTTGCTTGACAGTTGCTGAGGCAAAATTATTGGGAAAATATGTGTTGAGTTCTTTTTTATACATTATTATTATTTTCTTTTGGGGTGTGGATCCATCCAGCGCAGCAGAGCGAACCGCTGCCACTGCTCTGCTGCTGTCATTGCCCACGAGAGTGTGAAAATAAACGTGCGGCAACAGAAATGGAAAAAACAAAACTATTTTAAGATCATTTGCTTTTATTTTGATATGTATAGATATGTAGATGTATGTGTATATATGCATGTATTTGGTTTTAACGAATTTAAATTGATGCCTTTAAAACAGAATGAAGAAAGTGGCAGCAAAATACAAACACGTACGCACGCACAGGCAAACTCACACAAACAACAGCTACAACAACAACTTCGACGACGCTGCGCATCTCAAGCGTAAAGAGCAGCGCGTTAGCGACGAACGGAGTGCAGCGACATTGCCGCCGCCGCCGCAGCAGCAGCGCAGCGCCACTTAAAACAAATAAACAACTAGAGACAGAAAGAGAAAGAAGGAAAAATAAATGCGTTGCTCGTTTAATTTTAGGCGTGGTGGTTGCTTCATAAGAAATTAACCTTCAATTTGGATTTAGTTGTCAAATTTAGATTTTTTTCGAATTATTTGGAATTATTAATATATTATTTTCTCTGAATTTATTTATTT